GTGTGTGAGCGTGTGAAGTATAGAGTTGTGTTCAGACTCTGTTCAGTGTCTTAAGGGTATTCCAGGGCTTTGTTCATCCTTAACACTGGTAAATAGGTTGAGCCTTTAATCATACTGGTGAAGAATGTGAGCCATGCCAAATTTTTAAAGACTGCACAAAATTTTAACCATGCTCAGCTGTTTTCCAGAGTTACAGTGCGGCTTATCTGACTCCTTTGGGTCTAGTTGTCAGTCTTGCAGAAAAATACCCAGACTGGATGAGGTATTAGATTTTAAAATTAAGGTGGAAGTCTAGAAACAAATACAGTGTTTCTGAACTTAAAAGTCTAGATATCAGTGTATCACATGCTATTTGCTTTGTCTGAGCCTCTGAAGATTTTTAGTGGTTTTTGGACACAGAGAAGTGAGACAAGTGGGAAGCCTTAGCTTTGATATGGCTCCGATGTCTGCACCTGAAACTGGAAGGTTGGAACGGACATAGAAAGTCAGAAATCTGAGTTTTAAAAATTATGTACATGCAGGCCATGGTTGCTGATGAACACACATGTCCTCAGCACCTTAAAGGCCTTCAAAGCCTTTTGGGTTTTGCTTTTCTACATTGAGAGTATTACTTCCCACCTTACCTTTCTTTCTGTAGTTAACAAGGCTACAGATTATATGTTTGTGTTTTCTGCAAACTTTTTATTCTTTCTTTGGAATCAGATTTTGTTGCTTTCTCTTTGCTATGCATTTTCTGCTGTGCAGTATTTTGATGCTTGCTGTAGCCTTAGTGATCAGTTGAGGGTTCAAGGTCTTATTAATGTTGTAAAGGCAAAGCATATCCATGAAGTTCCAACTTGTTTTAGCTGTAGCATCTCTCTATGGTAATTACAGAAAATCTATATTTAAAGGTCTATTTCAGCCTATTTCTCTTGGAAGGGAAAATACTCTCTGCAGTGTACAGCCTGTTTGGCCTGCTGACATTTTTATTATTCATGGTGATTGTAGTGTCTAATCAAAATTATTGGACTTTTTTGACTGGTATTTATTTAATAGAGAATTACTATTAATCTAGGTGTGGAATCCATATCTTGTTAGCATTGCTTTCACAAAGTATCCACTGTTGATTAATGGAAACTAGTAATCAGTGGGATTCTAATGACCAAAACAAGTTTTTCTAATTATCACATAAACCTACTTTTATGTCTGGAAGTACAAAAAATTACTGCTTAATAGTAGTGTTATCTTAGACAGCAAAAGAAATTGAAGAGACTTTAACTCTCTGTATTAGGTTGCCCATATATCCCAAGAGTTAAGTTCTTCATAAGTAGCAAGCAATGTAGATTATGCTCAGTGTAGAAAAACCCCACATCATACTTCTGCTTGTCCTTGACTGTTTGAATTAAATAGCTTGAATCTTCCCTTATTTACATGGGGGTAATTTGAAGTATATCTTAATAATGAAAATTAATAAATTACAAATTAAATTGAAATTCTGCATGAGGGTTTCTGCAGTTAGAAGTGTCAGTGACAGTGGTAACTTGTTACTCAGTTTTGTAGTGTACAGCATTTCTAATGGAGCAGCAATATCAGAAATAACACCTGGATATCCCCATTCCCACTCCTCTGCTTTAATGAAGTCACATTTTCAATGTATACACTGAGGAAAAAGGTTGTAGGTACATAAGCATTCTATTATGATAATAAAGGCTGTGCACATAACGAATATTCTTGTTAATGAGTACTTGATAATTTTATTCCAACAGTTCAGGACTACTTGGGTAATGCCAGGACCATATTAGCAGCCTTAAAAGTATATAAGGAAACCCTTTCAGAAGTGACTAGTGATTTTAAATAGAATCAAACTGTGAGAAGCAGCCCCTTTGAAAGTATCTTAAAACTCCTAAGTCACTGTGCTTGAAAATTGGCCCTCTTTTGAACTTGCTCACCAGTCATGAAAACCAGACGTTTCCAGTGATGTCTAGAATGGTTTTGGGAGTGTCATGGAAAACAAGGTGCTCTGGATAAGGTGAATAATATTTCTACTTGTGGGGAAGGATTGTCGTGGACATTAACCTGTAGTTGCAGATATCACATATACTTTGGATTACCAGAACTGTATTAAAATTGCATTCTGTAGTTTATACTGCATCAGTAATATAATGAACTATAAAACTTTATGTAATTTTTTATTTAATTTTATAGTAAAAACACTGAGTAAAATAGTAAAAACTTTCTCAGGGATCTCTATTTCTGAGAAGGCACAAGGAACAAGTTCTGTCTCCCTGAGTGTGTGCATTCTGCTGAAGGTGTTGGCGAGAGGACGAAGACTGTATTCTTTGGGAGACCAAATTTCTGAGAACATTTTCCTCGGTGAGAAAAAGGAGCCTACTGTCAGTAATGTTGATCAAGCTGATATTCACTAGGCAACAAATCCCAGGCAAAATTTATATGGAAGATGCTGCATGTCAGAAATGTGTTGTTACTATGGAAATGATTTATTATTAGCTAAAGGAAACTTTAATGGAATCAAACAACCAGCACATTTCAGGTTTTGGAGTAAAGTCTTGAGGGAATATAGCTGCTGAGTGTGATCTGTGTGTATTTGCTTAGCCTCATGCTTCGAGCTTATGAAGGAATACCGATGTGCTGCTTCACATTCTTCATTGACAGAGGATGAACTTGAATCAGGATTCAGCTGATTCAAACCCCATTTATAAGAATTAACTGCTGCAGTGATTTTACAGTTAAACTCTTTTTCTAACTGTGGGCCTTTTGAGTGTTTTGATTCTGCTCCCAGTTCTGTTCATCCTCTTCTGTACACCAGTACATCTTTCACAACAGAGGCCAGGTCTCCTGGCTTCCAGCTTGCTCAAAGCCCTCTTTGCCCAATGCTCAATCTCCAGCCTTCCTCCTCCTGAAAACAGTGATTCTAGTTAACTAATGCATTCTGTATATTGCCAAATTGTTTTACTAAACAATGAAACCTGTCTTTTCCTCTGGCATTGAAATCAGTTCTCTAAAATAAGTGTCAGGAGTATATCTCGGCAATCTGGACTAAAGTAGACAGTGAAAATGTATTCTCTTACATGCTGGCAGAGAACTCTCTTACATGCTGACTACTTATGTGCTGGCAGAGAACTATGACTCTTGCACAGAAAAAGCCCACTGAGACCTCTGGATGCTGCTGCAATATTAGATATTGAAACAGTAAAGTATTTGTGGCCTTTGGGCGTTTCTTAAGAACATAGTATTGGGATACCGCCCTTCATTTCCACAGCTGTATCCTGAAGTCATTTGAGCCAGAGAGAATGTTTGGTTTTCCTAGGACCACAGGACATGCAGTTGTAAGACTTTTTTGGTCATTTGTATCATAAAAGGAACACTGCTTTGCCCTGTGTACCATCACCAAGTGTTTACAATTTTGCTGACTAGGCATCTGTAGTATTTTCACTGTGTTTAGTATCTCATAAAACTCTGAACTGTATGTAATATTTCATTTTAAAATATAAATTATATAAAGGAATTCATGCTCCTAAATCAGGGACACTTTTTGATCTCTATGTAAAGATTTAAGTATTCTTTTTAGCTATGCTTTACCTTCTCATTACAAATTTAAGATTTCTTGTGGTCCTTTTAATGCCATGGATAAGAAGGCCATACTGCTGGTAATAGCCACAAACTTAAGTTTTCTATGTGTTGGACCTTGTCCAGTGATCTTGATCATGCCCCAGGTATTTAACATTTGTACTATTGTATTGGGTTCTACTACCAAAATGTCTTTTAATAGGTCTTCCTTTTTACTCCATGCTATTAACCATATAGAAAAATGGTTTAAAACTATGTTTAGGACTTGTAAATGGCATGACTGTTACCTTCTATAAACATTGGCACAGTGGTTTTATACTTGCTGAAACTTTCAAGTGTTTCTATTTGGCACCTTCACAGAATGATGTAGGGTTTTTTCCCCATTGTTATTTAGAAGTGGTTATAATCATGAAACAGATGTTATCTATGGGATGATTATCCAAGTTGTAGGTTATCTATTTCTTGTTATTTCCAGCCATTCCCAAGCTGCAGCAAAACCTTCATCCGCACTAGAAAGCATCTGCATTTGATGTGTTGTGAAAGCGCCACTTTGCCTGCTAATGTTTAGTCTCTTCTGCTCTCCAAAAACTGTTTCCAAGTTTTTGTAATGTAAATATTCATGTAAATTGTACCCTGATCTTCCTACATTTTGGAATAACTGTTTTCATTTTACACATTATGTCTCATATTCTTAATAGGTGAGCACTAACTATATTCTAGTGCACTGGTTTACAATGTTAAATACTTTATCTTGTGTAGTGTTTTTTCATGGGACAAGTGCCTCATCATCATCAAATACGTGATTAATGAGTGGTTTGACCTGTATTCCAACACAATGTGAAATCCTGTCCCCAGTTCAAAAAGTTTCTGAAAACTCAGGATTAGATCCATAAATGTACTGATGCAATATGGTTTTTATTATAAAAGTGAATTCAAAATACTTATGATTGGTCAGCCTTGTGGGGCTGATCGACAGGCCTGATTAGGTGGTGTTTGATTGATTTTTATTCTTTCATCAGCATGAGCTGAAAGTAACTTCTTTGACATCAATAAGTTTATCCTCCTTTATGAGCGATACTAAAGGATGTGTATTGATTGTCATTAATATAGTTTCTGATAATAATCCCATTCTACTAGTCATGTGAAGGAACATGTGTAGTTGTGTTAACTGGGATTGCCTTGTTTGGCATTTTTGTACTTACACTTCAAAGCAAAAAAATCTCATGGCTGTGCTTCCGAAGTCAGATGCTGTGAAAATGCTAGAGCTGATGCTCTGCCTCCAAAATACCCAGTTCTCTGGGTTCTCACCCGTTAAAGGATGTTTAGTCACCTAACTCACAGAAGGAATGCTTCCTTTAGAAAGTGTCAAGTGCCGTGGGTAGTAGGGATAGCATTAGCAAGAGGGTCTCACGTTGAATTCTTCTGCTTTACAGGAGTACAAGCGCAAGCTAGCCAGGGTGTCCCAGGTACGGAAAGAACTCAGGTCGCGCATCCAGAACCTGCCTGATCTCTCTCGGCTCCCCAACGTCACAGGCAGCCACGTACACCTGCCGTTTGCAGGAGACATCTACAGCGATGATTGATTACATCCTTCCGTAACCTCTAATTTTCTGTGAAATGAGGGGTAGGTCAGACTAATTGGTACTCTTGTAGTATTATTTTTGTATATTGTTGGAGAGTGTCAGTAAAAATACTCTAATAATTTATAAAAAATGGTTTAAAAAGTTGATTTGTTTACTATTTTATTGGCGAGTGAGCAGAAGGATACATTTATAAAGTGGCATCTGTGTCTATTACATTGAAGAATGGATAATTATCTTATCTTTTGTAAAGATTTTAGTTGGGTGCCGTGTAAAAAAACTTGCTAAGATTTTTCCTATGTACCCTATATTTAATGTAGATCAACATATAATCAAAGCATACTTCTAACTTGAGACATTTCAGTTGCTAGTGAGGCAGTGAAATGTGGAAATCATGACCTTATGTTTGCGAGAAGGTTGAAGCAATTTAATGCAAAGTTAAAAGTGATTTTTCTGTCCATTACATTTAAAGTACCCCCTCCCGAAGCAAGTCAGATGGGTTTTTTGAAGTAAATGTTAGTAACCGATTTTGTGCTGGAAAACATAAATAATGTTACACTAAGCAGATCTTTAAATGATTCAAAGTATTGCAATATTTTAGTATAATTTAAAAATCAGCATAAGAAACTATACAATCGACCAGTTTAATTATGTTTCAAAATTGTAACCTCCTTTTTACAGCTGCTTAGTTTCTAAATTGAGGGACCATTCATTTGTACTCTAATCTTTTTCTGGAACGTCCGCCTCCATCTAAAAAGGTTAATCCCAGAAATGTGAAGCCATTTTACAGGCTTTAATTAAATTGAAAGGTCATTCTCTAAACTGTCCCAATTGTTAAATGCCCAGTATTAAAATTTGAGAATGCTATGTACCATCCATGCATCAGCAACACGATGATACAGCCATGCTCTACATCCTCTTCCACTGAGAAAACCCGGAGGCCAGCACAGGCTTCCAGCCCCCAACCTCTACCTGCTCCCTCCAGCAAACATTTCTGGATCGTGGTCGCGTTTTCTCACTGATCAGGAGGAGATGGATCAGGCCTGTGCATACATTCAACTGCGGAATATTATTGCCAAGTGTCTGTTTTTAAACAAGCCCTTTGCATGGCACAAATGTGGTATTTGTCTACAGGTAGCTGAATTTGTGCAAAGTCCTTGTTACCATACTATGCACCAGCTTTTAAGTTCACTTAAAACTTAAAGATACAGACAGGCATCTAGCAGATTGTTAGCAGATTAACATTCCTTCTCACATGAAAGCAATCTAAAAAAATATAATGATCTATTCTTCCTTTTCAAAACCCACAACAATTCAATGTAGTCCTGGAGTGAAATTGTTGAAGGCAGTGATCTGTCACTTTTTATTGACTTCTGCAGAGCTAACCACTAGAATGCTTGTTGAATGTGAATGGAGAATAAACTTTCTCTTTAAAATGGATACACTTGGACATGAGCACCTCAGTCCAATTATCTTATCTCACGGTAGTTGCCATGAATTAGACCTCAATAAAGTAGGAAAAAAAACCCCAACAGTGCAAACTAAAGATAAAAATGCAAGCTGTTGACATGGTATTCCACAGCATGCAATGTAGAATACTAATGTCATCAAAGACTCCAATTGACAAATAAGAATGCTGAAAGTACTTCATAAGAGCTCACTTGCTGTCCAAAGATTTTTAAGTTTTGAGTGGCAGTTTTCCACTTCACAGGAAAACAAGAGCCAACTATGATGAATCCAGAGGAGCATTTCTTTAGTTTAAGCCTAATATGCAAAATTAATTAACATCTATTGGCATTTTTTCAGCATAGATTCTTGATAAGAAAATGAATGCTCAAGTACAATTTTAATGATTTAAATATTTCTGGTTTAGTACATTAAACTCAGCTCATAAATTCATACACATATATATGTATATGCATTACAGCTGCAGTTAAAGCTCAGTCTTGCTAAAAGCACCAAATTTGTGATAAATATTAAAGCAGCTTAATCTATTAAGTATTATAAAATAAATGATAAAACAAGAAGGATAAATAGTGAGTTGATGGTTGAATCCCATCCATGGAAAACTTAATTTGCACCTGGAGGTGATTATAAGTGCAGCGTCATGGCTTGTTTAGAGTGCATTGAAGGATCCAAGTCTTAGATACTCAAAAGCATAGGGAATGAAGCTTAGTTTAAAATAATCATAATAATAAACTTGAATGCTGAATTTCCTTGATCTCTCAAGAGTATTAGAAAAGACATGACACTTACTTCACTAGACTTGGTTTTCCTATTCCTAACTCTTAGTGATAATGTTTGTTTATCTACAGATAATGTAGAACTGATAAAAGAATGAGGAAAAACCTCAACTTCTTCTTCTTGTATATAAGTTTTAATTTTGAGAGAGTGCTATTTTCTGGATATATTTTTCTTTATTTTACTGTGAGATTGTTTATTTCAAGGAATATTTCTTAGCTGGGTTTTTGGAAATGATCCCTCAGCATTTGTTTGGAAAAGCAGACTTGCGGAAGGTAAAGGTCACTCATATAGCAAGTGTCATATATTAGTGGCTGACTGGTACATTGCTTTTTATTTATATGGGAAAGGCATCAGGTATCAACTAGTTAGAAGATTTATATTGTAACTGTAATAGGATAACATGGTATGATACAAATGCAGCCCTGTAGTATCAAAAAATACCTCCAAATTCTCAGGTTCCAAAGCTTAACGTATGTACTTCTGACATCTCAGGAAGAACAGAGACCGGGTGGGGAAAGGAAGGGTGCCCAGGAGTGGAAAGGGAGAACATGCCTGAGAGGAAATGAAAAGGAAAAAACAAATGTCAAGTTTTGTCAAAACGGAAGTAACAGTGTGAAACTGGGCAGCGCAATGTTTCAGCTGCACATGGGATTATACAATAGAACTGCTCTGGGGTGTTACCGCCCCGGGAAAGCAGATGTGTGGGTGCACCCTGCCCGTCTCTTCTAACGTGGTCTGACTCTACTCAAACCAGAATGCCCACTCTACAAAAGTCACAATTATAAAATATCTGAGCATTTTTCATCTAATAATAAAAGCATAATAATAAGATTATTTGCTTCACTATATTGCACTTTTACTGAGGATTCTCTGACAAATATGAAGAGATTCCTGCAGCTCTTTGCCATATGAGAATGCTTACCTTGGAGGTCACTGGGACTGCTTGTATATTCCAGTGTTTGCAGACTCGAGCTGTGTATTTTGCAGAATGTTTTGAAATATATCAGGAATATTACCCTACTTCTGTGGTTTTAAAAATCCTTAGTTCTTAGTTACAAGATTTACCATTCTTAGCAATTGTGTTTCATTGCACCTTTTGAAAATGAAACAACAGCCTGCAGTAACATTAGCTTGTCTGTTTCACTCTGTTAATGTTTGTATTGATATATGAAAACACCTCAATTAATCCCTAGCAACACAACCCAAACTACATGCTTATTATGTATTTTATCTGAGCAGTCTTCTGAATGTCAAACTGAGAGCTTTCGTTATGGTAAAATTACATTCCTGATCACCTGCAGTTTAAAAAGACAATGTATTAGGACTTCCACAGACTAATACTGCTCTCACGAGTCAGTGGTAGCTCAGTCTGGTACTTCAGTGGTGACCCAAGATACATACATAGGATGCAGGAGTCCCCTGCACAGATGACGGTGGAGGACGTGGGAATTGTACATAGGCTTCACTGGCCCTCTGCAGAAGAGCTGGATTTTCACCTTTTGAAATGTAAGCAAATAGATTTGTGGGTGTGGGTTTTTTTTCAGTGGAAAAAATAGTGAACTAGAAAGCCAACATGTCTAATATTTGACAGTTCCATTTATAAATATTTAGGGCCAGTTCTGCTTGTTACTCATGCATATAATTACAGTGACTATTCCTGCAAGTAAAGAAAGCAGACTCAAATGTAGTGTCTTAAGTGATTTTTTTTTTTTAATTAATGGCCAATTTTGTCTCAGCTCCTATTTCAGTGTGTCATTTATCTTGATTAAGTAGTAAATCTCTTCCATCTTGTTACTTAGAAATCTAATTCTGGTTTCATCTTTACAATATTTAAAGTATCCTACTAAGCATGATGTTTTTGTGGGAATTTGCAGAAGTTCAATAGCACTCGTTACTTGTTTGCAACAGAAATAGACTCATTTGTTAAAAGCTAACAAGAAAAGTTTGAAATGTAAAGATGTTTCATTATCGTGCTTTTCTGACAGAATGTGTAATCCTTGTGTAATTTATGTCCTCAGAATAACAACTGTATGTATGCTCTTTCATATTTAATAGAATAAAACATTGTTGTAAAAATATCTTTGAAATAATTGCTTATTGCTTGCCTACGCAATCTCGTGGTGTGAAATGGCTTTAATGTAAACTGCTCCCTATACTTAGGAGTCACCAAAATCTCATCGTGATGCTGGGTAAATGGTCGATACTAATTTTGAAGTTCATTACTCTCCGTATTTGTATTTTGTGTGACAATTTTCAGTGAGGAAGCAGTGCATTAAAAAGTTTCAGCTCTCATATCTCTACAACCGTAAATTTCTTAAATATTCTTCATATACCATCTAATTTGGCCAAAGTCTGTGTTTCTTCAGAGGTGGGGCTGGGTGTGAGAAAATCCAGTAGCAATATGCCACCTTAAGGTTCCCAATACTAAAAAACAGGAAAATGGCTCAAACTGTTGTTTCAATATAAAACACATTTTAATTGAGCTGGTTGTATTACGACACACTTTGTGACATTTTCAATGTATGGTATGACACAACTACTGTCAACGATATACACACCATTGTGTAAGTGGAATTTCTATGAGCTGGGAAATAACTCTCTATAATTAAACACCTATACACAGGGGTGTTTGCTTAACAGAGTCTTCTTGGTCTTGCTTTACAAAGTCTGGCTGAAATTCTGGCCTCACTGAAATAAGAGGTCTCTAAAGTTGTTCAAATATAAACCAGAAACGCTGTGTGGCAGAGGTTTGGTGGAGAGGGCCATCCAACAATTAACAGTCAGTGTTTCATTGAGCACAGGAACGTAATATATTCTGAAGGGAAGGATGCATCAGATGTGTGTATGTGTCTGTGTATATACGAGTATGCATTGCCGTGGTTTAGCCCGGCAAGCAGCTGAACACCACGCAGATGCTGGCTTACTCCTCACCCCACCCCACTGTGGAGAACGTAAGTGAGCAAGCGGTTGCATGGTGTTTAGCTGCTTGCTGGGCTAAACCATGGCAGTCTATATAGATATATATACACACACATCTGATGTGTGTATATCTATGTACCTATATACATAATCTATATAGATACATATATACATATACGTGTGTGTGTTGTCTATATACACATTTTTCAGTAATTGATTTTGTCACAGTCCAGTAACAGAAAAAGGCTGTATTAGAGGCGTAGCAATAACATAAAAGCACTTCAGATGACAGATAGAAAACACCAACATTATTTCTGCCCAGCATTTTGAAGCACACTTATAAAACAAGGAATAGCACATACTGAATAATTTTTTTCCCCTCACAGCAAGGTCTGATAGCTTGCAGTAGTGATGCCTAATAACACCACATCTGAAAACTCTGGTAATTACAAAGAAAAAGATGTTGTTTGGAGCATGACAAAACCCTGCGTTAACAAATCGCACATTGCAACAGTAATACAGCTGGAGTGCGGAATACCTGAAGCTCAGTGCCTGGCACCCTCAATACGCTTTTAGGAGATGCGTACTCCAGCCTAGCTCTCCTGGGATCCTGGGGAGATTGCCCATTAGTGTTCCCAGCACAGTGCCCCAGAATCACATCTTTTATCCACTATCTGTAGTTTTATGCAAAAGGAGCGTGACTTGTACTCTGAGACCACTCGGTACTGTGTAAAAAGCGCAGTAAATACGGACAATTGGGAGGTCTGCTTCAAATGCCTACTCTTGATCTGATGATCTAACACATGAAAGTTGGTGCACCTTAAAACGTAATAGATGCGTATGCTGGTTTCCACTCATAGGAAGCACAGCAGTGCACTACCCAATGTGTGTACTTTTAATATAAAAATTTATTGCAAAATGGTTTTTCAAATGCCATTTTATAATGCACGTTTTCCATCAACAAGATTGAAATATTTTTCCAGAGGACTGGACCATAAATACAGCAACAGATGAATTAATGCCAGGTTCTACAGTGGAAAAAGGGTAACTGGAAGGTCTGTACTTTGATCAAAGAATGACAGTTCATTCAATCCTACATGTACGTAAGAAACAAACAGCAGTGAACCTTTCAAAATTATTGTGCAAGTGTCCAGGAAATATAAAAGGTTACATGCCAATCTTTGAGACCCCAAGTAGAATTTGCAACTAACTGTTCTCCTCTGCCCTGGATTGCTATCAAGTCTGACAACTTACTTGCTGGTCCTGTTTCTTAAGTGGAGTTGAGTTCAAGTACACTGAAAAGAACCTGTTCATTAGGATACAAAAAAGAAAAAAAAAAGGAAAATACAGACCTTCTAACCAATGATTTAAATCTTTTTAACTGACTGATTCTCTTTTCAGAGGGGAAATCTGAAGCACGATTTGCAGAACTGTCACTGCAGAATACGTGCAGGGCAGGCTACAAACTGGGTTGTGAACTGTAAGTTTCTACTGTGCTTTCTCACATCTGTGCTCAACTGAAAATGTAAAATCGTACAGTGGAGACCGCTGTAACCTTGGCAATCATCTATTCACATCGAAACGTTTTGGTGCAACAACTTGACTACTGCCCAGGGTAAACCTAGTTTTCCAGATTGAAGTCCAGCAAGGAAGAAACTCTGAAGCCTGGTCAAACTGAAAGACATTTAAGAAAAAAGTTCTCTCTGTAGTCATTTCAGAATGAGACAAAAGTGACCCATTTTGGTAGCAACAGAGCAACCGGAAAGTAAACATCCCGTATTCTCAATGCCACTCTCGTAGCAGTAACAAATCAGGTCACTGTCAGCAGCCTAGTGCGAAGCTGTCAGTTGGCACTGAGAACATCCCATGTTAGAGCAGTTTTACAAGGTTCTGCATAATTCTAGGACCAGTTATCATCTGCAGTCCAAATCACAGAAAATACTCTTACAAAAATTAAGAAACTCAATCTGATTATACAGTTCTCTCTCTTTGTATGTGAGTCCTGTCCTATTCTGGAACCTTTGTCAAGGCTGTGTTAAAGGCCGTGCTTAAATTACCACAGGTTCTAATAGACAGCAACAGTACAGGACACTCCATTAAATCCTTGAAAATACTGTACCTGCAAAAAGTGATGGTGAAAGTGTCTTTGTTTTACTCAAACATGTAAAGCATGGATGAGATCTTTCAGCTTTTATTGTGTGCAATATCTTAAAAATAGTGGGAGTGAGGTCTGCCAACTGTATGTTAGTCCTGCTGGACCCACTGATGGATCCAGTATTGACAGCTTTCTCAAAGGATAGATGCTGGCTTTTAATTCTTAAGAGACCGCAAAACATGTTCAAGATTCCCAAGCATATCAGACTGCCTATTTTCTCATCTCCCTCTTCTAGACAATCAGTTCCCTTAGAAACAGAGCTTGCTTCTAAGAAACATGGTCTATGCTTACACAGCGTAAATGGCATCAGCTTGAGTTTTAAAGAAATCACTTTGTTGATTTACTAGAACTGGAGTAATGCTTATTACTGTAATCTTTATTACTTTGACGTAATGGAAAAACTAAAGTAAAGTCAAGAAGTTTTTCAAATCTGCCTTCTGGCTTTTCTCTTTTTCTTCTAAGTCGAGCATCCGTTTTAGCTTTGAAAAGTGAAATTTGGAGTTTCGGGGAGTCTTGGAAGCAGAGCTGGTTGTCCCTTGTCCAGACAGACGTGTTCTGAAAAACAAGACTCAATGTCTTAAAGGTAAGGAATCAGAATTAACATAACGATGAAAGTGCACATATATAATTTGAGTGAAAAAGTTTGAACATAAACAGTGTATTTTCAAGGGACAGTGAGTAGTTTATAAATAAATTTTAAGACAGACATTTCACATTAATGACAAAAACATAATTGTGCTTTCTTTGCATAATGGTTTTTCATTAGAATCTTTGATTTTAAATGCTGGAAAGTTAAATTTTATCTCCTCAATCAGAACACTAAGGACTCAGTCACCAATTTAAAGTTTATGAAGTGACTGAACTGAAATCAGTACATGACGCCCTTTCCCAACAAGACAACATAAACTCTACTGAGCAAAGTGCCTTTAAATAGGAGAGAAACAGGTACCTGGGAAGCGATGAGGGACTCTTCCCTTTAGATCCCAACCTACTGCAGCTTACAGGTGTCACTTTGGTTGCAGACAGAATTTTTACATCTGGTGTCCTCAGGCTAGATGTAATACTTGGAGTGCCACAATTGTGTGTCTTGGTAGCCAGAAAATCTCTGCTTTTACCATAATGTCTTGTTGTTTTGTTGCACGAGTTGCAAGTAACCAGCTGTGGAGAGAAGAAAGGAAGTAGCAACCATTTTTCAGTCTTTCCACCATTATATTACAAAGTCATTGTAAAAATTATCCAAACTACTCTCCAAATATCATGACATGAGTTAAATACTTGATTAAGTGAAACAGTAAAAGATAGTAAACAGCAACACACACTTTACACCTAGTATTTTCATTCAGGCTTCATAAGCCAAACATGTCCTATAAGTTTATCTAGAAATGACTCCAGCCCCCTAGCAACTAACTTCAGGAGACCTGTAACTCTGAATGTAACGTTGTACAGTGAAATATGGAAAACAACTCTGTCAAAACCGAAAGAAGAAACCGAAAGTTATCTGGAGGACACGTAAGGGGTATTCTTATTTTTAAAAAAACCCAGGACATACAAAGTGATCTAAACTCACCAGCATTTTCTACCCCCAATGAAGTTGTATTACACACTTTCCAGGGAGTCCTGAGATAAAATATTTAAGTTACCAAAATCATAAAAATGGCCATCCACAACTAGTAACAGCAAGTCTTAGTGAACAAAGAAGGGACCTTCTATTAGTACTAAAATATTTGCTACAATATGGAGGAGGCTGCAGACAAAGAGCGCTTTCTCTTCTACCCATTTACTTCTGGGCTGCAGGGAACTGCCAGCAGCAGCGCAGGCTGCAGAGGTGCATCAGGACAGAGAATGTCAGGCAGTCGCAGAGACCGTCAAATATTCCTCATATCCCCGACTGCCATGGCAACTGCTCTTAATCAGAGACATGAGAGTAATGCAGCCAGACAACTTTTTGAGGCACATAATTACACCGACTGAAAAACATCATTATGTGATGTTTCTGGTTAAAGAAACCAACATATTCAAAACAATGTCACAAAAGTGTCTAAGCAGTTTTGAAAACACCTGTACCAAATCGTTCCTCATTTCAAAGTGTATAAATTTACCTAAGTTCAGGTTGCTTAGAGAGAATTACATTTCGAAATGCCAAAATGAAATGTTTTCAGGTAAGTGTTTTGACTGTCTCCAGACATCATTTTGTCAGACTAACAAACTAAAAAAGAGAAAGATCATTAACTTACACAGCTCAGGCATTGAGGTATTTTTAGTTCTAAATGAAATTCTGATGGGGGAAAAAAACCCAAAACAAAACAGCATCACATGATGATTTAGCACTCCACAGAATACACATGGAAGCAAACACCTTACAATGCAGGAATTAGTGGATCGATCCTAGCACTGCACAGCTAATTTCCATTCCCTGAACTGCATATTTCAAAAAAAATTTAGAAGTCCTGAAATAGTTCCTATATTATATGCCTTTTCATGGCAGAAGCATTCTCAAATCAAGTTCTACTTACTAAGAAAGGTATCAGAGGCACAACCTGTCACATTGTTACTTGGTTTAATTTTCAACCACACTCAAATTTTCATTTTTGCAAGTCTCAGGTGTTAGATTATAGGGATCTGCATTGCTAATTTTGAAAGCTGTCAATTGCTGACAGTATTTTAAATACTTAAGACCAGAAATACTTAAACCATAATCCACAGCACAAACGCAAACAGAACTGAGCAGAACACGAATGCAGTAAACTGTAATTACATCTCAAGATTAGAATTTACCCAGAGTTTAAACTGGACCTATTTAAAACTGAATTTTAAACTACTCATATGAATGCACATTGCATCCTACAGACCTCTCCAGGTACAGAATAAATCTAGGAACTCACCATAATTCTACAGGACACTGTTCATCAGTTGTCTAAACAGACAGTAGACTGTTCTTAATGCACACGTAACGTTTGTGATCCCCAAAAAATAAACCAAAGATTCCAGCCCCGCAGATGCCCTTTCTGCTGCTCAACTACGATCTAAAATTTGGAGAGTAATAGCAAAGGTGCCTTTCTGGAGCACCCCTGTTTGCCCTGACAGCTGAGAACCTCTGTGATATTTCCTCAGTTTAATATTGTGTTACTGATGCTTTAATAATTTTTGGTTTTGCAAATTTTATTCTCCAAACCAGCAGACTCTCCTCGGAAAAAATGCCAACTGTGCCAGCAACTGCTGAGCATAATAGGGTGCCGTCTCATTTATTAAAACATCCATTCACATAACCTGCTTTAACAGTAATGTATGCCTTGGCAACACTGGATTAAATGTATACTATTATTCTTCAAATAATAGTAATTACTATAAAATAGTGATTAAATCTTATATTCCTAAGCAATTTTAGGAAAAAAGAACTGAAGGCTCAAAAGCAACATTAACTTGTTTAAATTACATGTGTATGGTTTAGTTTTGAAAGACTTCCTATGAACAGTTACATTCCGACAAATGTAAAAAATTCCAGTTGTGCAGAAGGTAATAATCGGATGTAGCCATGATGGTCTACTGAGAGAAAGGAAGTGAAGTTAGAAGTTGTACATTTTTAGACAACAAACTGACAATCTGTCAGCCACTCAAGCCCTTCTTCAGAGCTGAAACAAAGGCAGTAAATGTCAAGCGACACATATTGCAAAAGCAATCTGACTTCAGTCAATGGCGTATTTTCCTTCTTAGTTTTGAGGTATTCTCAGCAATGTATTTCTAAGGATTTTAATGGATTTTGGCATCTACACGGCTGTATTAAAACTCTGCATCTAGTAGAGCTGCCTGGTCCTAGTTCTACCACATTCACAGGAAAAGAAGGAAAAGGCGAAAATCTGCCAACCCTGCCATTTTTGCAAACCTATGCAAATTCTGCAGTAGCTGAAAGTGGAAATGCCAATTTCCTGGCAAAAAAAAAATGACTAAATTTTCAGCAAGATCTAAGACATCTGCAGAGCCTATCCAGGCTGCTGCTAATGCCATCACAGGGAGGGCAGAACTGTTTTGTGTAGATTTCCCAACACGTGGGACTGGGGTCTTTTAACAGAGATTACTGTTCTTGTCATTGTGCGCCTCATCTCTCTATAGTGGAGGGCAGATTTCAAAAATTTTGACTGTGAACATAAGTTATGCCAAAAGAAAGGAACAGTTATAAGCTCATGAAAAAAGAAATGTGTAGGTGTGAGCTCCATTTCTAAGAGCAAGATTTCCATATCTTCTTTTTTTATGACACTGAAAGGTTTCAGGGAAACATCAGGTATTCTGCAGTGACAAGTAAATATCCTTACCAGCACGCTTCTTGACTCCCTGTACCTTTTCAAAAGCTTTGTCTGTTTCATATTAAGTTTATGGTTTTTTGCCTCTCGTTTAAGAACTTTCTCTATCTGTGGAGTCACTTTCATCTTTGGTTTGAGGCGCACCCGGTGGCTATCAGGAACCAGGAACTGGAAGCAGTAAGGACACGTCCTTTCTAATCTCCCTTCATTATCTGCAGATTAATAAAGGTAAAAAGAGTAAAACATAAATGAAATAGGCACTTTACAAGCAAACATTACAATGGTATGCTTCTATTTTAACATAATCTTGGTAGGTATGTTTTTAAGTTTCAGCCACAACTAGAACAAAAGAGGAAGCTGAGCAGCAGTATGTGCACCAGTGTGTGCTCAGCCAAGCACAATTCATGGTAAGTTTATGCACAGTGTATATTTACAGCATTTGTACTAGCAATTTTGCTGGAAAAATGCAAATACTTCCTAAAAATCTTTTAGCAACAGCGGCTCACAATTCCGCATGAAGCTCCCTGCAGGCACAGATCAGTGACACCAAAGCCTTGTAAAGCTCTTTGTCCATTTTAAGTGTATGACAATAGTATCTCAGCATGGGATGAAGAAATGCTTTGAGATCTATCTCAGCCATAATAAGAGGCATGCTCCTGCATCTGCCTCCTTACTTTCTGCTGCCAGAGACAGACTTGAGCACATCTCTTGAAACCCCTAAGGAAACCCCTGGGCCCTGCTGCCTAGCAAGTACGCCACTTTTGCCAGCAGCCTCAAAGCACACCCTGTGGGGGCAGCGCAAGGGGAAAACGGAAAGAAAAGGAAAGCGTGTCCCTCATTCTTAGGGTTAGGCTTCTGCTCGCCATTCTTCGAGCCAGGCTTCTGCCCTTCAGCTGCCCAGGCAACCCCAACG